GAGAGGGATCCGACGTTACAGAAGCCCAAGCCGCGAAATAAAAAGTCGTACTGCCCGAGGATTGAACCCGCGATGTTCCGAGTGCAAGCCTCGCTCGCTATCCACTGCGCTACCTGAGGTGAGACGGAGTCGAGGCGGAGCGACACTCATCGCGAGCCGGCACATTAACCCTTTCCACACGGATGGCGACGGGCGAAGTTGGCAGCAGTGGCTTCGAGGTCTTCGAGGTCTTCGAGGTCTTCGAGGTGCTCTAATGGCCTGATGGCTGGAGTTGGAGGCAAAGCTGCGAGGCGAGCGGCTCCAACACGCACTCAAAAAAAAAAACAAAAAAAAACGCCGAATCATCCACACCGGCCTTTTTCAAGTTCGGCGGGGTGAGCAGTTCGAGAAGTATGAGCGGATTGGATGCCGACTTTCCAACCAGTGCGACGCGGGTTCGCTACCCGGCGGGTGCGTTCTTTTTCCCCCCGCGAGTCTTGGAATCTTGTTATGAATCCTCGTCCGTGGCGCGGGAGGGCTGCAGTTGCCACACCGCCCCAAGTGGATTGCGATACCCCCCTGCAACAAGCAACTATCTACGCCCACTGTCTCGATAACCGACTATCTACGCGCGCTCTCCCGACAACCGGCTATCTACACGAGCTGTCTGGATAACCGTCTATCTGCTTTCTCCACCTCGCGAGATTGAATGCTTTTATTTATCCAACCAATTAAGTTGCCCTCGCAAAACCTTTACCAAAACTTGTCAAAAGTTTGTCAAAGCAAGATTAAGTATGGTTTAAACGGGTCGCTTTAAGTGTCATGGAGAAAAATACTTCGTTGTACGACAACCCTAACCTCGCTACGATGTTGGATAGTCGGTTATCCAGACAGCCCATGTAGATAGCCGGTTGTCGGGAGAGCGCCCGTAGATAGTCGGTTATCGAGACAGTGAGCGTAGATAGCTGCTTGTTGCAGGGGAGTATCGATTGCGCCATCGGGCGGACGTGCGGGCCCACACGTGCCAACGCGGCCCTCGCACGGACGGACGGTCGGACGGTCGGACTGACAGACAGACAGGGAGACAGACAGACAGGGAGACAGACAGGGAGACAGACAGACAGACAGACAGACAGACAGACAGACAGACAGACACGGGTAAACTGACGAGCCAATGCTGGATGAAGATGTCGCTGAGACTACACGGCGCGTGGAAAAAGAGGGGTCTGCTTTTAAAGTGGTGTGCCGCTTGCTGACTCGGTGCCGCGCTGTGGAGGCTGGCTGACGACAACAGCAGAGCTGCGGAAAACTGGTGTGACGAATGAGTTCGCTTTGTCGCCACAACCACCACAACCGCAGCACCAGCTTTGCAGCCCTTCCCACATTCTATCCTCTGCCGGTCTGCACTTTCTTCCGCGTCGGTCTATCCGCGCTGTCGTCATATCTATCTTAAGGGCGGCGGGAGAGGGACAGAGACTGGCGTTCCTCTAGGTCCTGTGGCACTGGCCTCTCTCTCTGTCTTTCTCTCGGGTGGTCCCAAAGCGGAAAAACTCTCGGCAGTGACGAACGAAGAGAGAGAGAGAGAGAGAGAGAGAGAGAGAGAGAGAGAGAGAGAGAGAGAGAGAGAGAGAGGGGGCATTTTAGCAGTTGGTTCTATTGAAATGCAGTCAACCCTGAGCAGAGAAGAAAATAGGCTGCTGTGATGGACAGAGGGACAGACAGACAAACAGAAGAGGCACCTCAAGGGAGTAGGACCTGTTGAGTTTCCGCATCCTTTCAGATTGCCTTCATGAGGCAACGTCTCGGGAAAGCTATCCACGTCCCAACAACTGCGTTCTAACTGTTTTAATTTTTTTTTCAATTTGAAATTTTTTAGGAAAGTGCGTTTGTAAAGGTCTGCAGCAGTTGTTTTCGCAACAAGTAGTTCTCCAGGATTATCCCCGTTACTGCTTTTCACAGTGTGCGAGTGCCCAAGGGCCCACCTCAAGGATTTCTGACAGTTTCTTGACGTCCCGACTCGTAGTTTCGGCTGATGGTTCGACAAGAACTCGACCCCAGCCGCCGGGCCAGCCAGGCCAGCCCCCCCAGCTCGGCGCGGTGCCTCCCCAGGGCCCGGGCGGCCCACGCCGTCAAGACCTTCAAGACCGTCAAGAAGGAGGAGAAGTAATGATGGCGAGATTATCGTAGCTCTCTGCCCCCACACGCACCTGGGGACTTCGCACAGCGCACGCACACAATGCTCCCCCCACCCTCTTCTCTCTCTCTCTCTCTCCCTTCCCCTCTCTCTCTCTCTCTCCTCTCGCTCTCTCTCTCTCTCTCTCTCTCTCTCTCTCTCTCTCTCTCTCTCTCTCTCTCACACACACACACACACACACACACTCAAGACATGAAGTCAAATAACACACGTGCGAAAAGAAAGAGGCTTGCCGCGGAACGATGGTTGTATGTTCAGTCAGAGGAAAGGCGGAGCATTTCTCGCGCGGCAAAGGTTTCCTGGTGTAGGGGGCTGTGCAAAGTGTTGTGCCGCCGAAATCCGGAATGCTCTTTGCAAGACGAAAGCAAGGGAAAGCATTGTACAGTGGACAGGTGGTGGCGCAGTGCTTCGCAGTGCCGTGGCGCCGCCAAACAAACTTGGGGTCCCTTTTGTTCAGCGCGGCCGCCCCGCCGAGTGCCCCCGCGGCCCCCGCGGCCGCCGACGGCCACCCCCGGGAAAATTATTAAAACTCAAAACCGCCGCCGTGGCCGCCGCCGGGACGCGAACCCGAGCCCGCGCCGCAGGACGAATCCAATTCCGAGGAGAGCCGGGCGAGCGGCGGCGCAGGCCGCGGCCGCGGCTTGGTTGTGAATCAACAGTTGCACCCCCTCCCCCTCTCCCCGCCCCGCCCCGCGGCCCGGGGAACGCACAGTGGGCCAGAAGACCAGTGGAGGAGGCCAAAACCCCGGACGCGTTTTGAGCTCCAGAGTCACTAAATGGGGCTCGAACCGAACGTGTGACCCCACCAATGGATTGCTCTTCGAACGAGGAATCCATTGGGGGGGTTCACACTTTTTGGTTCGAGTCCCATTTAGCGACTCTGGAGCTCAAAACTCGTCTGGAGTTTTGGCTGCCTCCACCGGTCCTCTGGCGCACTGTGGAACGCTCACCGCACGCACGACGCCGTGCCCAGCACGCACGCCGGCGAGCAGGTTCACGTGGAAAACACCTATCACCCTTTAAAAGGAACCCCACCAAAATTGGAACACACAAACTTGGACACACACACACACAAAACACACACAACCCCCACAAAACACACAACACACACCCCCCCACAACACCCCCACACACACACCGCCCCCGCAGGCTCACTTGTTGGCAGCCGGCCGGCGTGGCGGTGCTCGCCGTGCTCCAGGTGCGGCCGTCCCCCCCCGCCGCCCCGGGGCGTCCCGGGCGCCCCCCCGGGGGCTCGGGCCCCCGGCTGGGGCTCGGGGGCCGGGCCCCCTCGGCTGGCCCCTCGGCTCGGCTGCGCTCGGCTCGGCTGCGCTCGGCTCGGCTTGGTTCGGCTCGGTTGGGCTGGGTCCGTGCTCGGGGGGCTGCTAGGCCGCGGTGGGCTCGGCGGGGCGGTGGCATGGCACTGGCGCTGCCGGCGCTGCTGACCCACAGGCCGGGACGCGACCCGCCCCCACCCCCGGGGCCCACCCCCGCCGATTGGGGGTGGCGGTGGGGGCGGCCGGGGGCGGCAGAGCGAAACCCGAGCGGGGGGGCCCCCCAAACCCTGGGAACGGAAAATACCCCGCAGGGGCCCAAGGGGGGCCCCCAGGCTCCGGGGGGGGTTTTGGCTGATGCAAAGGGGATCAAAACGCGCCCCCAACTGGTTTTGGCCTTCCTCCAAGGGCCCCTTGGTGGGTTTCCCCCCTCCGATGGAAATTGGACCCCAAACCGAAGGGGGCCGTCCCCACCGGTTTTGGCTCCCCCGGAACGGGAACCCCTTGGTGGGGCCCACCCCCCGGGGACCCCAGGGGGGGAATTTTTCTGGGCCAAAAATTCCAGGGTCCAGAGGCGGCCGCCCACCTTTTTTCTTTTTGGTTCTGGAGCGGCCAAACCCCCTTGGGCGGGGCCGAGACCCCACGCCGGGCCCCGGGAGGCCGCCAGGGCGGGGCCTTGGGGGGCCCAGGGCCAGGTCTGGGATGGCGCACCGGGCCGCCAAAAAAATTCCTTTTTTCCCTTTTTGGTTTTAAAAAGGGGGCCACCCAGGCCAAGGGGCCGGGGGGCCGCTTCCGGAACCCCCGCGGCCGCGAGCAGTCGGGAGGAGGGGGAACCCCGGGTCAAAGGGGCCCTTTCGGGGCGAGGCCCCCGGGCCCCGGCGGGTTGGGTGGCCACCGGGCCGGGGCCACGCGGGGGCCCAGGTTTGTTCGGGCGCCATTGGGCAAAAGGGGGAGGCGAAAAAAGGCTGACGCTTTTTGGCCCCGGTCGAAAACCCCCGGGGTTGCCCCAAAAGGTTCCCCAAAGAAAAAGGGGGGAACCTTCCGGTTCGGGGTCCCTTCAGGGTTCGGGAGCCCGCCCAGGGCCCCCCCCGGGGGCCCCTTGGGGGGCCTTCCCACCGTGGCCCCCGGGCGGAGAAGGTTTTTTTGGGGCCAAGGGGGCCAGAAACCGGTACCGAACAAAAGCAAGGTTTTGGGCTCCAAAGATCCAAATAATCAACCAAAGGGGTAAAAACCCACCAATGGAAAGGGCCCCCCCCGTTTGAGCCCCTTTGGTGGGGCCCCCCCTTCCCCCCCCGAGCCCGGGGTTACCCCGTTTTGGGACCCCCAAAAGCCCCAATTTTGGCCCAACCCCACCGGCCCCGGACCCCTTTGGGCCCTTTACCCCAAATAAAACACGTTTTTTTGTTTAATTTATTAAGGGGTAAAAGTGGGGTCCGGGGTTAAAACCAAAAGGGGGCCCTCATGGGGCTCAAAAGGGTCAAAATTGGGGGCCTTTTTGGGGGGTGGGCCGGGGGGGCTAAAGGCCTCCCCCATCCTCAAACAGGGGGCCCATGCCAAATCCGTCTTTAGGCGCCGCCAATAGGAAGCCATTTTTAGCAGGCCATTACAGGTTTTCAAATATTTACAATCAGGTTTAGCTTTTCCTTTTTTTGAGTCCCCGATAATTTTGATCTTCTAAGGGACGATGCTTTTTTTACATGGCACTGGGAAATACTTTGAGCACAACACAATTAAGCCTGGCTTCTTGACTAGTCCATCGACTGGGAGCCGGTCGAGGGGAAACGGTACAAAAATCTGCAACCGCCATACTTTTGGCCACAACATTTTAAGACACTGTCGCTTCGGCGCGGGGCAGCCCGCCGCTACTCCGCGCGCGAGGGACTGCCGGGCGGCGCGGGGTATCGCCGGCGCTAGAAGGGCAGGAGTCCCGGCGGCGGCGGCTGCTGGCGCTGCGCCTTCCTGCCGCGGCCGACGGGCAGCGGCGGCGGCGGCACGTCGGGGATGCCCTGCTCGGTGGGCCGGTTGTTCTTCACGCTGTCGATGTCCACGGCGGGCGGCGGCTGGTACTGCCCGGGGTTGTCGACGCGCTCCACCGTCTGCACGGCGCGCGCCGCGGGGAACGGTGCGGCCGGCGAGTGCACGACGCCGTGCTCGAGGTGGCCGTCGTCGCGCTGCTGCTGCACGTCCGAGGCGTACACCACGGGCCACGGGGTCACCTGGAACGAGATCCTCTGTGTGTTGACCGTGTTGACGGGGACCCCCCACAGTGGGCCAGAAGACTGGTGGAGCCGGCCAAAACTCTAGACGCGTTTTGAGCTCCAGAGTCGCTAAATGGGACCGAACCGAACGTGTGACCCCACCAATGGATTCCTCGTTCGGAGAGCAATCCATTGGTGTGGTCACACGTCCAGTTCGAGTCCCATTTAGCGACTCTGGAGCTCAAAACCCGTCCGGGATTTTGACCGCCTCCACCGGTCTTCTGGCCCACTGTGCCCCCTTCCCCTGCAAGACTCGACCGAGGTCATTCCGGCCGCCGCGACCCCGCCAAGGTAATGGCCCACCTGTTGTTGGTCGGCGTGCGGGCCGAGGCCAGGCTGCAGGCCGTGCTCCAGGCCGTGCTCCAGGCCGTGCTGCAGGCCAGGCTCCAGGCCGTGCTCCAGGCCGTGCTCCAGGCCGGGCTGTAGGCCGGGCCCCGGCGCCCCCTGCGGCCCGGCGGCCTGCAGGGACAGCTCCAGGGGCGGACCGCCCGCGCCGTCCGCGCCGACGGCGTCACCAGGCTGCGCTACGGACACCAAGGGCTGCGGCGGCGCGCCGGGCACCGCGGCATGGCTGGGGTCGTACAGTGGAGGCACCTGCGCTGCAACCTGCAAAAAAAAAGGAAAAGGGGGATTTAACCCCCGGAACCCTTTGGCCCTCCCGTACCTTGGGGGAAAAACGGCCCAGGACCCGGGTTTTCTGGTCGGGGGTTAAAAAAAATGGGGGGTTTTCGGTCCAGCACCCTCCAAAAACCTCGGAAAAAAAGGCAAAAACTGGGAAAAAAAAATGGGGGGAAAAATCCCGCGGGTTTTTAACCCGGGTCCAAATTCTCCCAACCGAAAATGGCCCCCCAGGGGTTTTTCCCCCTCGCCCCATTCCAAAAATTCCCCTAAAATTGCCCTTTAGCTGGCCAAAAAATTGCCGAGAATTTTCCCCCTTTTGCCCCATTAGCCCATTGAGGGAACCGGCAGAGCGCCCCCGGGGCATTCGGATTTTCTTTTTCCCCTTTTGGCCCCCCCAAGGAGGCCCCCAACCAAAATTTGGGGGCAAAGGTTTGGCCAGGGAAGCCTCCCGGGGCCAAAAAGGCGGGGGCCGGCCCCCCGGGCGGACGGGACACCGCCAAAAGGGGGGGCCCAACCCAATGCCCCCCCTCCGCTTTTTTCAAAAAAACCCCAAAAATTTACCGGGGGGAAATTTTGGGGCCCTTCCCGGGGCAACAAATCGGGGCCTACCTTCGGCAGACCAACGGCCCCGGGGCGGGGGTACTGGCGGGGCCGGGAGACAGCACCCGCCCGCGGGGCCGCCGGGCGGCTGGGGGAGGGAGGCCGGCCCCCGACCGTTGGGGAAGGGTTTAAAACCCGCCGGGACCCCCGGGAAACGTAAAAACAAGTGGGCCCAAAGGACCGGTTGGAAAGGCGGACAAAACTCCGACGCGTTTTCCCGGGGCCCCAAGGACCGGGGAACCCGAACGTTTTGACCCCCAACCCCGAGGGGGGAAAAACACCCCCCCTTAAACCCGGGGCCCGCCCATTCCCATCCCCCTTTTCCCCCAAAAGAGGATTTGCAAAAAAGAAAAACCCCAAAAAACAAATTTTAGTTTCCCGCCATTCCGGGCGGACGGGCGGACGAGGCCGTCATCTGCAAGTGTGAGTCACTCCGCTCCACTCCGCTCCACTCCGCTCCACTCCGCACGGTAGATTCCGCCAGCCCCCTCCTGGAGCTGCTGGAGCTGCCCACGACTGTGGTGCCGGCACTGCCAGCGGTGACGAGTGGGTGCAGGCTAGGCCGGCCCAACGGAAGGCGGAGCACAGTGGGCCAGAAGACCGGTGGAGGCGGTCAAAACCCCGGACGGGTTTTGAGCTCCAAAGCCGCGAAATGGGACTCGAACCGAACGTGTGACACTGCAAAAAAAATCCATCTTAATTTTAAGAAACTAGTTTGTGAAGCAGTTTACAAAGATTTTTTGCTATTAAAAGTAAGAAACTTTCTCCTCTTAAAACTAATGACCAAGTTTTTAAAATTCATAGACTATGGTTTATTAAAATTCTTAAACATATTTGACTAAAGTGGGAGAAAAGGACTTCTAAACCGACGTCAGATTTCGAGTGTGGATGTCGGAATTTTGAAATGCTTCTTACGACGTGTCACGTAACAGTGTCGGTTATCAAAAATTAGTCAAGCCACGAAGACCTGATAATTGTATGTCTTCCATCTTCCGACTGTGCCACAGCAGAGGAGGTGCCTGGACCTAACCCAATGGCCGACAGCAGACACCAGCGAGTGGCAACATGGTTATGCGTTTTTCTCAACTTCAGTGGAATATTTCGTTAAAAAATTTGAGCTAGCGGCTAGAGAAGACATTTACTAAGGCAACAGATGGTCTCATTTGCCAAAAGAAGTTCTTTTAGAAATACAAATAGGAAATACTTATTCGGGAACGGACACGGCGCTCTTAGCGCCACCTAGCGGCAGGTCTGTGAAACCTGACCCTAAACCCAGCGGCTGACTGTGGGCCGTACCGTGTGAGAAGTGGCTTGTCGACAGTTTGCGTGAAGCAATCAAACTAAACCTTCGGTTTACGTTGGATGTGACAGCTATCACTTAAGCGTTCAACTCTAACTTCAATCAGTTAGTTTGAGAAATCTAGTTATGAAATGTCATCAGTCATGTGGATTTTAAGAAACGAATTTTTACTTTTGGCAGGCAATCTTAATTTTGACAACCCAGTTCCTAAGTTTTAAAAGTGGTTTTGAAATTTACCAACTATTTATTACTTTTCATTTTAGTTTTGGTAAATGTAATAAAGTATAGCACTTTTCACAAGTTTTCACATCATTTCAAAATGTTATTAAATTTAAAACATTTTCATGTCTTAAATTTCAGAATTTTTTTTGCAGTGGACCCCACCAATGGATTGCTCTCCGAACGAGGAATCCATTGGTGGGGCGTCACACGCACGGTTAGCGCGACTCCTTGAAAAACAAGGACGGTTTTTGAAAAACAAGGAAATATGGAACACTTCAAGGAAGTTCCTTGGAAGTGTGCTCCCATTCCAAGGAGGCTCTCTTGTTTTCCAAGGGCAGTCCCTTGTTTTCTTGGACTCCAGACAAATTCCAAGGGCCCGCCTTGTTTTTGGGGCTCACTTCCAAGGGGACGCCTTGGTTGGTCTTTGCCGATTCAAGGAACCGCCTTGTTTGTCCGCAGAAGCTTGAGTTACGTCGTCGAGCACGTCATGAGGACCCCGATGACGTCCCCCTGGGGTTCACCATGACGACCCCCATGTTTCGCTGTGCTGTTGAGGCGGCCGGGTCTCACAGTGGCCAACGCCGAAGTCCGTTTTCTTCTACGTCCAGTACTTTCGGAGATACGAGGACGTACCACGAGGCCGCCGTCCAGGCGGAGGAGGAAGTGGTGATTTTTTCGAGGCCAAAGTAGCTCTGGCCACGAGCCTACTTGGTGTCCGGGACTTTTGACTTCGGAATCGGGTTAGGGGGGTGCCGGCCCACCTCGAAACCAAATTTGGTCAAGTTCCGGCCAGCCGTTTGTCCAGGATGGCGTCAAACAGCTGGATTTTTGGACTTCTTTTGCTGATTGGATGATGTTTGACGCCATCCTGGACAAACGGCTGACCGGAACTTGACCAAATTTGGTTTCGAGGTGGGCCGGCACCCCCCTAACCCGATTCCGAAGTCAAAAGTCCCGGACACCAAGTAGGCTCGTGGCCAGAGCTACTTTGGCCTCGAAAAAATCACCACTTCCTCCTCCGCCTGGACGGCGGCCTCGTGGTACGTCCTCGTATCTCCGAAAGTACTGGACGTAGAAGAAAACGGACTTCGGCGTTGGCCACTGTGAGACCCGGCCGCCTCAACGGCACAGTGAAACATGGGGGTCGTCATGGTGAACCCCAGGGGGACGTCATCGGGGACCTCATGACGTGCTCGACGACGTAACTCAAGCTTCTGCGGACAAACAAGGCGGTTCCTTGAATCGGCAAAGACCAACCAAGGCGTCCCCTTGGAAGTGAGCCCCAAAAACAAGGCGGGCCCTTGGAATTTGTCTGGAGTCCAAGAAAACAAGGGACTGCCCTTGGAAAACAAGGGAGCCTCCTTGGAATGGGAGCACACTTCCAAGGAACTTCCTTGAAGTGTTCCATATTTCCTTGTTTTTCAAAAACCGTCCTTGTTTTTCAAGGAGTCGCGCTAACCGTGCGTTCGGTTCGAGTCTCATATAGCGACTGTGGAACTCAAAACGCGTCAAGAGTTTTGGCCACCTCCACCGGTCTTCTGGCCCACTGTGCAGTGTCCTCGCACTCCAGAGTCTAGGGCCACTCGACGTGGAAGATAAGTTACCCCGGACCGCCTCCTTCGGCCTTTATACTCACTCAGATGGACTCGGTGGGGAAGGCCGTCATGGAGCGCATGAAGTAGAAGGGGATCAAGTGCGGCACCTCCAGGGCGGGCAGCAGCACCAGCACCAGCACCAGGGACACGGGGCTGAGCAGCAGCAGCAGCCCGGCGTACAGCAGCGACATCCAGGCCGGCGAGCCCACCAGCGAGGCGGAGGGCGCGGCCATCAACATCGCGCCGCCCTTTGCTAGCACACCGCTGCAAGCAGAGAGAGGTGGCACTTCTTTCAAACCACTGGAAAGAACTCCTCGAAACGAACGTGTGACCCCACCAATGGGTTGCTCTCCGAACGAGGAATCCATTGGTGGGGTCACACTCTCGGTTCGAGTCCCATTTAGCTGTGTGCCAATCGGTGGAGGCGGACAAAACTCTAGACGCGTTTTGAGCTCCAGAGTCGCTAAATAGGCCTCGAACCGAACGTGTGACCCCACCAATGGATTCCTCGTCAGGAGAGCAATCCATTGATGGGGTCACACGTTCGGCTCGAGTCCCATTTAGCGACTCTGGAGCTCAAAACGCGGCTGGAATTTTGGCCGCCTCCACCGGTCTTCTGGTAAATCCCCTGTGCGCTGGCCTGCCTCAACCGACGGCCGGCCGTCCCTGACGTAACAAAGCGCTCGGCGCCAGCGGCATGGCCCACGCCAAGGTGAAGGCCGTCGAGAGGGAAAGGAAGGTAGCGCTGCGGTGCTGGTCGGTGTCACCGGCTCGACAACGCCCTACCTCGTACACAGTGCACCAGCAAGGCACTTGGGAAAAAAATACAGGGGCCAAAAACAAAGTCAAGTGGATTTCGAAAACCGGCAGTTTCCTTTCTTCTTTTTATTTTTCGGCAGTCCTCCCCGAATGCGAGTCGACGTCAAACACACGCCAAACCCAAGTCCAAAGTCCTGGCGGTTCACACGTGGGGTGTCGGCGGGCCTGTCACCGCTGGGCCCGGGGGCCCGCGGGCCCGGGGGTCAGACGAGAGGCGGAGAGAACGTCGAACCCGCAGGGCCGCAGGGCCGCGGGACCCACAATCTGGCTCGAACCAAGCCGGGCCCTCGCACTCCGCTCCAAAAAGGTACACGGTTTCCAGGGAGCTCCTGGGAAAACCAGGAACCGTTTTTACCGTGTAAACACCCCCCCTTTTTTTGAGGTCGATTGAGCTTATCCTTAAATATAGGGCGGGTCCCTGTACTTCCTCTTTTAAAAATTTCATTTTCCCCCCACATTTTTAGTTTTTTTTTCTCCACTTAAATTTTTAACGGCTATTTTGTTTAGTTGCACAACTAGTGTCCAGTCACGGGAGGGCGGTTTTGCTGGCCCGGAGTCCCCAGCGGCCAAAGTAACTTTACGCGGGTACATTTTGCACCTGTCAAAAACAGCAATCACCTGAAAGAGCCGAAACTTGGCACAGTCCCCCGCACAGCAATCCCATCAAAGCCTTGTCGATCTGAGGCCGCAGGTGCCCGTCGTCTCGGCTCCGCTCCCCTTATCTTATTTTTAATTTCCTAATGTCACCGAGGACTCCGAGACTCGGGAGCCCCGCCCTGTCGCGCTCCATTGACGCGCAGACAGGGGCGACTGACCCCAAACAGAGTGCTATCGTCACAGCGACCTCCCTCGGGACGACCAGCGCACCGACCCACAGTGGGCCAGAAGACCGGTGGAGGCGGACAAAACTCTAGACGCGTTTTGAGCTCCAGAGTCGCTAGACAGGCCTCGAACCGAACGTGTGACCCCACCAATGGATTCCTCGTTCGGAGAGCAATCCATTGGTGGGGTCACACGTTCGGTTCGAGTCCAATTTAGCGACGCTGGAGCTCAAAACGCACCCGGTATTTTGACCCCTTCCACCGGTCTTCTGGCCCACTGTGCGATCGTCATAAAAGCGATGACAGTCACCTTTGCATTCAAATCACGGCCATCGGACTGTCGCGGATCGGCGTCGCTTTCCTTAAGCGCCTCGCCGTCTCGCGGGAATGGTTGGTTGAAGCAAATCACAATCGAAAAAAAAAAATGAAAGGAAGAAAAAACGGGGGAAAAGGCGCCAGACATCCAGACGGTACGCACTGTCCGCTTAGCAAGGCATGTGCATCGACTTAGACGTAGTCAACAATGTGCAAGCGACAATTTTTTAACTTGACTTTATCCTTGAAAATTGTGTGTAGTTAAAGAAAAGCAATGGACTCGTGGTAGACAGAAGTTCGGTTTGACATTTAAAAAAAAACTACAATTGGGTAAAACCGACCACTTTTTTTTTTTAAGTTTGACTATGCATGCTGAAAAATCTTTGCAATCACAAACTTTTTCTTTCAGTTAGGCCTAAAATATGTTGTGGGGTTTCGCAAAGTGCATGGCGAAAGCTTACTCACCGGTTAGTAAAAGTGTTTCCCGAAATTCCCTCGTGGACACACACTCACACACACGCACCAACACACCCACACGCACGCACCAACACACACGCACAAAAACACACACGCACGTGCGCCACTCGCCACGCTGGGCGTCCGCGCTAGCACACTGCACGCTGCAACTACTATCTGGCGACTGCACCGGCCGCGCTCGCTAGCACTCCCCTCCCCCTTCCCCCTCCCCGGCCGGCGGCCCGGTTCAAGGTTGCCTGGCGAGAGGTTAAGACTAGCCTCGCAGCACGCCGCCGCCAGCTGACTGACCACGGCGTGGAGGTGCTGCAAGCCCGCAACCAGAACCCGGCCGACGAGGTGCGTCGCCCAGTCGCCACAGTCGGCGCCGCGTAGCGCGAGCAGCGGTGGGGGCGGGGCGGGCAGTGTGGTGGCAGGGTCAGCTTGCGGCGCCGCGACTTTGCTTTGCACAGAGTGGAGGGGCTGGCAGTGTGCTGGCAGCGGCACGGCAACGCCGAGCCCCACGCCTACCTTCGGAGGTACCAAAGCGACGAAGCCCGCCAAGTCAAGTCTCAAAGCAATGCAATCACTGCGGCGTGCCTTGGGCGCGCCGGCAGAGCGCCCGTCGAGGCGGGGGTAGGCAGCACCGCAGCGCGTGCCTGCGTCGGGCCGGTGGGTTGCCTACACTGCAGGCTGTCGGTGGCGAAACCAGTGCACTGGATGGACCGGCTGCGCGGCCTGCGGGCCTCGGGGCCTGTCGCAACGCAAACGCGCTCATTGGCCAGAAGACCGGTGGAGGCGGCCAACATTCTACACGCGTTTTGAGCTCCAGAGTCGCTGAATGGGACCCGAACCGAACGTGTGACCCCACCAATGGATTCCTCGTTCGGAGAGCAGTCCATTGGTGGGGTCACACGTTCGGTTCGAGTCCCAGTTAGCGACTCTGGAGCTCAAAACGCGGCTCGAGGTCCCAGACGAGCCTCGAGAAGGCCGAGAAGTGCTGCACCGTGCAGAGCGGAGGGAAGTCCCGGCGGTGCGTGAGCCTGGCCGCCAGAACGCCAGGCCGCCGCTGGAGAAGCAAGCCCCACCACTCCCCGCCAGCCTCCAGCCCAGCCAGGCCACGGGCTGACGCAAGAGGCGGGCACAGCACACCGACCTTGGCAGCCTGGAGCCGGGCTGGAGAGGGGGAGGGGGGGAGCCTCCCCACCCCACTATGCAAAAGCCCGGGCTGCTCGGCTGCACGCTCGCTCACGCACAGGTACGCACAATACGCTTCATCAGAATAGCCCCCCTCCCCTCTTTTCTGCGGAGCATTACAGCCACAAAAGCAGCACTGAGCTGCGCCATTATTTTCTCGGCACAAAATAATTCCCGGTTCGAAACGAAAACACCATTATGGATCGGGAACGTGGCTTTTGAAACGAACGGGGCGGACAAGCGGCAGCGGCGGGCAAATTTAATAAACTGCTCGGCGGAAGACGGGGGAGGCAGCTGTCTCTCTCGCACCGTACGGGACTGCGCGTGAGTGCAAGGGAGACAGAGTGACGCGCTGCGCCGACGAGGTAGGCCACCCATCTGACGAGCGCGGTGGGCTGCCGAGCACCGGGCGCACCACAGTGGGCCAGAAGACCGGTGAAGGCGGACAAAACTCTCGACGCGTTTTGAGCTCCAGAGTCGCTATGGAACTCGAACCGAACGTGTGACCCCACCAATGGATTGCTCTCCGAACGAGGAATCCATTGGTTCGGTCAACATCCATTGATCGGTACGATGTCTCTGGGTGTCTAACCATTCTAAAACGACAGGAGGGTGTGGTTCCCACCAGCCTCTGCTGACGGCCTGACCTGGGTAAGTCCCCCGGTGCACCCGCAGGACGGACGAAAAGCACGAAAAACGCGTCGATACCCCGCGCGACTTTTCCCTCTTTCTGGTGGGAGGCGAACTGGAGCCCCGAGCGAGCACTCGCCATTTTTTGTTAGGGCTGCCTGCTGCCACCACACTGCCGCCACCGCCACCGCACCGAGCGCGTTTGTCAAGGGGCTGCTGGGTTGACAAGAAAGGCGTTCGCATGGGGCGGGGCGGGGCGGGGCGGGGCGGGGCGGGGCCGAACGAAGGGTTGCTCTTTTTAGACGCTGTGATTAATTGCCCTGGATCAAACTTTGAAGCGGCCCAGCGGCCACACGCAGAGAATGGATTGTTATTTTTGCGGGGTCCCTTCTGCGCGTGCTACGCAGCTACGCGGCTACGCGGCGACGCGGACTATGCGGGGATGCAGCCGCGGCTTCGCGTGCTCCAGTATGATTTACAGCCACGGGCGTTCTACGCAGCAGCGCCCCGCCGCGTACACTGTACACTCTCAGGCCACAACGACAGGCGTTTGGCGCGACCCGCTGCCGCCGGCCAAAACTCTGGACGCGTTTTGAGCTCCAGAGTCGCTGAACATGACTCGAACCGAACGTGTGACCCCACCAATGGATTCCTTGTTCGGAGAGCAATCCATTGGTGGGGTCACACGTTCGGTTCGAATCCTGTTTAGCGACTCTGGAGCTCAAAACGCGTCTGGGATTTTGACCGCCTCCGCCGGTCTTCCGGCCCACTGTGGGTGAAGAGTTGTCGAACTCAGCGGTGTTTGCCCGTCCACGGACTTGGTCGGCGCGGTCCATCCCCAGAGCTGCCGGGCGGCATTCTAGTCCCTGTAGTCCCATGCACGGTGCGAACGCGGGACCGGCGGGGACCGCGCCCATACCGGAGCCGGCGCGCCCGGCGCGGCCACACCCACCTTCTGCTCCCGGAGGAGGCGGTGGAGTGGGGCGGGACGGCGCGGACCTTGATCTTGCTCGGTGTCCTTGACGGCGCCGGGGATCGGCCGGCCGGGCCGCCAGGATCGTCGGCCAGGTCCTCGCCTCTGCAGTCCTCTGCACTTGCAGTCAACGCCCGCCGACGTCGGTCCGGCCGCCACACTGTTCTGGACGTCGCGGGCGGGGCGGGGCGGGGCGGGGCGGGGCGGGGCGGGGCGGGGTGGTATGCACATTGAGACAACACACTGCTGCCAGAGCTTTCTGCTGGTTTCATTCAATGGTTGAGGCTGGCCGCGCTCTGGCACACACACACACACACACACAGAGTGAGAAAGAGAGAGACAGACAGACAGAGAGAAAGAGAGAAGGAGAGAGAGTAAACGAGCCTCATACCCGCCTCGTAAGTTGCCATCACCGCAGCTAATCCAATTCCCTCTTGGCCCTTTTCCCCGCACAAAGTCCCGGGGTGAATCGCGGCTTGGCTCGCGGCCCCGCGGTGTCGGCGGTCATCCTCCTGCATGCGGCTGGGGCCGGCATGGAATCCGACTGGACTCAGCACAGTGGGCCAGACAACCAGTGGAGGCGGTCAAAATCCCAGACGCGTTTTGAGCTCCAGAGTCGCTAAATGGGACTCGAACCGAGCGTGTGACCCCACCAATGGATTCCTCGTTCGAAGATCAATCCATTGGTGGGGTCACACGTTCGGTTCGAGTCCCATTTAGCGACTCTAGAGCTCAAAACGCGTCTGGAGTTTCGGCCGCCCCCACCGGTCTTCTGGCCCACTGTGCGCTGGAGAGGTCCGTTGTTGCTCCCTGATTGTTTCGCCGACCCGCTCGGCTGCCCGCGGTCGGCAACTTGGCGCTGATGGATTCCTCTGCCCTCAACAACGGGCGGTTCAAGTTCGGCCGTTCGGGGTGCTGGAGCCTCCCCTCCTGCTCCGCGCCGCAGCCCCGCAGCGTCACGGCAGCTCGATAGTGGTTGTGACAGCAGCTGTCTAGTTTTGCCAAAATCAACCGGTCGGGCGTTGGGCACTTGGCAGGGCCCTGCACCGGGACGGCTTTGCCCTGGTCCGACTGGCTGTAAAATCGCGAAGCCGTTAACCCTAGACTGTCTCTTTGTGGGAGGGAGGGAGAGAGAGAGAGAGAGAGAGAGAGAGAGAGAGAGAGAGAGAGAGAGAGAGAGAGAGAGAGAGAGAGCGTCGGGTGTCTGTTTCATCGCCAGCGAGTGCTCGCTGCGACGCAAGAGCAGTCCCCCGTTGCGAACAATGAGACTTTCCGACGTGTTGAACACGGGCGGCAATGGTCGCATCAAGCCTGAGAAGCTTAGCGTCGAGCAGCGCGCTCGACAGCGTGCTCGCCTGCTGCACTCACGATCCCGAGGTTCGATTCCCGCCTCGCTGCTTCCAAAAAAAAACACCTTGCCCTTCAATCAAACGTATGCAAAACCACTATTTTTCGTCGAATTTAATTTTTTGCAGTGTGGTGTGTTGGGTGTGGCCCCTGGAGCCAAAGCGCCGCTTCGTGCCGCCTTCGGGTTGGTTCGGGTGCGCTCGGCCGCTTCCGTCTCCGTCGCCCGAGAGAGTGCGAGAGAGAGAGAGGCGATCCGCGGCGTCCGCCGCGGCGTCCGGGCGCACTCGAAAAGGAAGAGTCTACATCGGCCGGTATATAAGCGGCGGCCCGGATCCGAGGGGTACAGTTCCCTTGCCAGAGCAGACGAGGAATCTCCCGCAATCACCATGAAGGTAGGTCCACTGACAGTGACAGCCTCAAGAAAAAGCGCTCAGCTGGAAATGACCGTGTTCGACTACCGCCACCAGCCAGTCTTTTAGCGTGTCGTTGTGTTGTGTTTGTTTGCTTTTTGGTGAATGAAATATTTGTGTGATGTCAGTGTTGCCACATAAATTGGCGAAAATTTCCATTGTGCACTAAAGTTGACAGTGTTGCCAACCTCAGCCTGCGTACCAGGCGACCTCTTGATAGCGAAGCCCTTACGCTCAGTGGGCCAGAAGACCAGCGGAGGCGGCCAAAACTCTGGACGCGTTTTGAGCTCCAGAGTCGCAAAATGGGCCTTGGACCGAACGTGTGACCCCACCAATGGATTGCTCTCCGGACGAGGAAACCATTGGTGGGGTCACACGTTCGGTTCGAGTCCCGATTATCAACTCTGGAGCTCAAAACGCGTCTAGAGTTTTGACCGCGTGCACCGGTCTTCTGGCCCACTGAGAAACGTAGAGGGCAGGCTGAGGTTGGCAGCCCTCTCGGTGCCAAGTGCCCCTGTGTGCTACTCCACTGTGTGCCACTCCACTGTGTGCCGCCCTAACGCTGTCGCTGCTGCCGCTGCCCTCCAGGTCGCCCTCTTCGTCCTGGCCGTCGTGGCCTCCGCCTCCGCCGGCCTCATCCCCGCCACCACACTGCTGCGCGCGCCCCAGCACGACAGCGCCGTCATCCAGAGCGAGCGTCTGGGCGGCAACTTCGCCTACTCCTCCGTGGAGGGCCACGCCTACCAGGCCGTGAGCCCCGTGGTGCAGCACGTCCAGACCCCCGTGGCCGTCAGCTACCACGCCACCCCCGTGCAGGTCCCCGTCGTGCAGCAGCAGCAGGTCGCCTACAAGGCCGCCCCCGTCGTCCACACCTACGCCGCCGCCGCCCCCGTGGTCGCTAGCACCTACGCCGCCACCCCCGTGGTCAGCAGCTACGCCGCCCCCCTGGTCGCCGGTCACTACGGCTACGGCGCCTACGCCGCCGGCTCCCCCGTCCTGGTCGCCAGGAAGTGAGCCGCCCGTCAAACTCCCGCCGCCATCATGCTCCCCGTCGCTCTGAGGGTCGAGTGCTGCTTCGCCTTCGGTAGTAGCGACCTACACTGTCAATAAACTCCTCCACAACGACCGGTCTGTTTCTCACTCCTCCTCGCTTCCCTGCACCAACGCACAGTGGGCCAGAAGACCGGTGGGGGCGGCCAAAATTCGAGACGCGTTTTGAGCGCCAGAGGTCAGTCCAGTCAAAGGGGTGTTCCTCAAATAGGCACAACCCCGAACTCAACAAAGTTTGAGCGGAATGATACAAAAAAAAAAAAGAGTCGCCAAAAGGAACTCGAACCGAACTTGTGACCCCACCAATGGATTGCTCTTCGAACGAGGAATCCATCGGTGGGGTCACACGTTCGGTTTGGGTCCCATTCAGCGACTCTGGCGCTCATAACGCGTCTAGCGTTTCGGCCGCCTCCACCGGTCTTCCGGCCCACTGTGCGTCGAGTGAGAGGCACTCGAGTCAAGCGCCTGACACCACCCACTGCCACTGCTGCTCTCTCGATCCGCGTGCGATTAACGACATAACCGCCTAACACAATTTAATCCGCGGCGTTGCTCGGGCCTGCACCTCACCGCCGAATCCAATTTGCCGGCAACGAGGTTAGGTCCTCAAAGACCACTAATTGACACTTTGCGCGCTGCAAAGCGGCCGAAACGAAGCGGCCGATTAATGGGAACCGTTCCCGGCCGTCTTGGTGGTCATCGCGCAGCGGCACGCGCAGTGCGTGGCCTTGAAGGTCGCTCGCTTCCTGGACCAATGAAGCTGCGGCTAATGGCTCCGCCAAAAAAGGACCGCCAACATCGCGCGAGATGAAAAATACAACGGTCCGCGGCGTGTTTACCTGGGAGAGGGAGAGAGAGAGAGAGAGAGAGAGAGAGAGAGAGAGAGAGAGAGAGAGAGAGAGAGAGAGAGAGAGAGGCAGAGGGAGAGAGAGACAGAGAGAGAGAGAGACGTCGGGAGTGGTTTGACTGGCGTGACTGGCGCCTGAATGGGGCAGACGAACCTTTTTCGCGTATGGTAGTTGCTCTGCCCGCCACCACGCAGCGCTCGCGTCGAACTGAGTTTTCTCCGTCGCCACACTGTTACAGCATCTCTCGGGGATTGACCAATGGTCGCGAGAATCCCTGGAGATGGATTAACCGAGCGAGAGGAAGCTCAGGCCAGGGACAGTTTTTCCGTTCAGGCCGGGTCTGGACTCACGTACCGTTCACGTTTCAGGGGTAGGGTACACGGTACAAAAACGTTTCCTGGTTTTCCCAGGATGCCTATGGTAAAGGCATAGGCGATTTCCAGGGAGTTCCTTGGGAAATGGGGAACCGTTTTTACCGTGTATTCGAGCCGACAGCAGGTCGAGCAGGTCTCTGTTTAATCCCCATTCGTCCATTTCGCCTGGTGTGGTGGCGGTCCGCGAACTCGGCTCCGTCGTGCCGCATGATTCCGGCCCCGATTCCTTCCGGCTCTGTGTGCACGCATGATGCTGGGTAAACACTCGGGGGGAGGGGCAGGGCAGGGCCGGGCAGGGCAGGGCAGGGCGCTCCCCCGAAGGCCGTCCGCACAGACACACTGACAGTGACACACGCACACACACACACACGCGCACACACACACACGCACGCACACACACACACACACACACACACACACACACACACACACACACACACACACACACACGGGCACGCACACACACACGACGGGCACCACCGTGTTTCGGTGGCACGGTTGGTGGGCCTTGGGAAGGGACCGCAGACAAGCAACAGTTCCTGCCCCACCCTGTTGCCGCCCCGCCCCGCCCCGCCCCGCCCCGCCCCACCTGTTGTGTGCTCCCTTCGCCTCGCCGCGCTGGCTCCCCCGGGCGGGGCGGGGCGGGGCGGGGCGGGGCGCGGTCTGGGGCCCTTTTCGATAAATCCCGGATTGTTTCGGCTGGGGCTTCGTTTCCTCCATGTTCGTGGCCGGCTTGGCCGTCGGTTTGCCCGTCTCGGGGACGGTGCGGCCGGGCACACAGGTGCGGAGCAGTAGCTTCCCGGTCGATACACTGTGGGGAGGGGGTGGGGAGGGGGTGCCCACGTCACGGGCACGTGGAGCCCAAGTGCCAGCCCGTCGGCTGCCTTTTGGCTGCCCGCGCTGTCAGGTGGCTGCCCGGACGCCAGCGCTGTCAAGGGTGGCCAGAGGACCGCCGGCTTCAATTAAGCGACATCGTGTTGTCCCCGCCACGCCCCGCCTTGCCCCGCCCCGCCCCGCCCCAACCCGCTCCGCCCCGCCCAACCCCGCCCGCCCCACCACGCCCCGCCCCGCCCCACCCCGCCCCGCCCCACCCCGCCCCGCCCCGCCCCGCCGGACTCGTAGACGTCAACGACAGTGTCGCGAAACGTCGCGTCTAATTCGTGGCGCGGCATTTTGTCGCATTTTGTTGTTCCGTCGCTCCGTCTCTGTCGCACTCGAAGGAAGGGTGCGAGGGAGGCAGTTCGGAATCAGCGGCGGTAATCTTTGAAGCTCCGGCCGAGCTGTGGACGCCTCGAGGAGGAGAAGGGAAGGAAGAGATCTGCGAAACGATGTGGAAAGGAAGGAACGAAGGGAGAGGGTTGTCAAAAAGATGCCCTTTTCGAGATAAGCGAAATTAGTAGGACTACTTGCCACGTGCGGACCGGACCAGAGGCATAGCGGTGCTTTGGCGGGCAGGGTCTCCAACACTGGGTCCCACACCCATGTGAAGTAGGCGTTTCTAAATGCGAAGCAGGGTATTCGAAGTCAAGCTTCATCCGTTCGGGTTGCGTCACAGCCAGAGGCGTCCAAAACTCCGCCCCCAGAACCACCCAGAATGTGCTTGGAGAGTTGTTGCCTCGACTGGCGTGCTGCCTTCTGGCCCACTGCGAGTCGTCCGCGTGACCCCTGCCCGTCGGCGGGGTCTTTAAAGTCACCAGAGAGCGAAGGGAACCAAACTACGCCTTTTACTTTTATTTTTATCTCCTCGCCCCTTCTTTTGTTGCTATTATCGTAGTTGGCTGAATCGATTCTACCCGTCCCTCCCCTCCGGCCGCGGTCTGGTCCACCGGGACGGGCAAAAAACGGATTTTGCATGAAAAAACAACCCTTCTGCATTTTTTTTTCAACCTTGATGAGGCCTTGTTGACTGGTGGTGAAGGCGCCTTCTGGCGCGCACCTTGTCGCCCAGAGCGCCTGGCAGGTAGGCCGCCCAGCGGACTGTGCGCACCACTGTACGCTGGGCTGCCTACCCCGCCGTCCGCAGGGGCTCCCGGCCGCGGCGGTCAAAATCCCGGACGCGTATAGCTCCAGAGTCGCTAAATGGGACTCGAACCGAACGTGTGACACCACCAATGGGTTGCTCTCCGAACGAGGAATCCATTGGTGGGGTCACACGTTCGCTTCGAGTCCCAGCGACTCTGGAGCTCGAAACGCGTGTAGAGTTTCGGCAGCGTTCGCCGCCAAGTGTGGCACCACTGCGCGGCGGCCAAGTTGGTCGCGCTGCTCCGCTGTGCTCGCTCCGCGGTTCCAGCGAAACAGGCGACGCTCAAATGAGAAAAGACTTATCGGGCCGCCATCCCATTGTCTCGGCTGTTAATTGAAAATGTTTCCAGCGCGCTGCAGCCTCTCTGCCGCTTGCCTCGCCTGCCGCCTCCACCGCGAGGGCGCTGCCGTCTGCCTCCTTGTTAGTGGAAGTCGAGTGGAACGCAACTCGATACGAAACCTCTTTCAACACGCCTCCGCCCTCCGCCACCGGCCACCAACACGTGGCCCGCCCTAAAAATGAAACGCCCTTTCTGTACCTTTTTTTGTGCGAAAGAAAAAGAAGACACGTGCCGGTATTCGAACCCCGGCCATTCCGCTGCCAGTCGATTTCTGTCCGGAAATGGATGGGCCGGCCGGAAGGGCGGAAGGTTCTCCCGGCGTATCCCTTTACGTCCACGTGCCTTACGCCTCGCCACCTGGCTGCAGCGGGCCTCCACAGTGGGCCAGACGACCGCAGGGGGCGGCCGAAACTCTAGACGCGTTTTGAGCTCCAGAGTCGCTAAACAGGACTCGGACCGGACGTGTGACCCCACCAATGGATTCCTCGTTCGGAGAGCAATCCATTGATGGGGTCACACGTTCGCTTCGAGTCACATTTCGCGACTCTGGAGCTCAAGCCGGGTCTGGAGTTTTGGTCGCCTTCACCGGTCTTCTGGCCCACTGTGCACCGCTACCGAGGCCGTGACCAAGGCCGTGGCCCAGGCCGTTCAAGGCCGTGACCGAGGCCGTGACCAAGGCCGTGGCCCAGGCCGCTCAAGGCCGCGGCCGAGGCCGTGACGCAAGCTGAGCATCCCAGTGACCCCAGGCCAGCGCACGGGCGAGCCTCGTCCAGCGTAGCCCCCTCCAGGACCTCCCCGCGCGTGGCGGGCGTGGCGGGGCGCGTGGTGCGGCGCGTAGTAGTTCCACGCCCCGCTTGGGGCGCTGCGCCGCGCTGCGCTGCCTGGCCGGGCCTGGCCGGGGCGGTGCGTAGCGTGGGGTGGCTGCTGGCTGGCGGTAGGGGCGGGAGGGGAGGGGAGGGGAGGGGATGGCGGGGCCCTGGAGTACGACCGCGACTACGCCAGCGACGCTAGCGACGCCAGTGCTTGTCCGGGAGCGTGACAGTCCGGGCGGCGCTCGTGATGGGAGTCACGCGCGTGCGTCGCCAGCCCGAGTACTACGACGACGTGCACCACGACGCTCGACGGCCCCCCGACTCCCCCCGCGCCCCGCCTCCCAGCCGCGACCTCCGCACCTCCCCGTCGGCCTCCCCCAACGCCCCCGCGCACCCCGTCGGCTCCGTGGTCTCGGCCTCCCTGCCCGCCGCCCTCGCCGTCGTGCACTCCGCGGACGACAACAGGGCCGCGACAACAGGTGGGTCCTCGCCGACCAGAGTCCTCTGTCGTCACCGTGGTCCTCGTTGGAGGCCGCGAAGGTCGGTAGGGGGCACGCCGTGGCACGCCCTAAACGGCTGCTCACTTATGCATAACCCGCCTAAGTCACTGTCTGCCCGCCTGTCTGTCTGTCTGCCCGCCTGTCCCGTCTGTCTGTCTGCCTGTCTGCCTGTCTGTCTGCCTGTCTGCCTGCCTGTCTGTCTGCCTGTCTGTCTGTCTGTCTGTCTGTCTGTCTGTCGCTGTGTCTCCGCCAAAAAGCCTTTCATCGGCGGCGAGTGCGTTGACTGGCTGCTCGGCGCGTGTCCGCTCGTCTTCCCAGCCTGCCACCCCCGTCTGTCCGGCGCTGGCCCTGACCGCCAGCTCGGTCTGCCCGCGGCCCGCCCGCCTGCCATTGACCTTGAATCGGTGTCGCCGGAGTCCCCGCCGACGTCAGGGCTGTGTCGGGCGGGAAGGGTGAGCACATGGCGAGGTGAAGGCATGGTGCTGGCTCGTCCCGACTGGAGTGGCTTCCAAGGTGGCAGCGGCACGGCGTCCTTGGCACGGCCCTGGAAAGCCCTGGAAAGCCCTGGAACGCCCTGGAACGCCCTGAAACGCCCTGACACGCCCCGACACGCCCTGGAACGCCATGGAACGCCCTGGAACGCCCTGGAACGCCCCGGAGGCTGGAGCCTGGAGCCCTTAGCGACGCACAAGGACATTCATAATGGAGGAGGGAAGTCCCAGGTGGCGCCGAACCGACTTCGAGGCTGCCCCAGGAAAGATAAAAAAAAATAAAAATAATTCAAATTGTATAAAAAGTGAGTGCGACGGAAGGCAGCTGCTTCCTCTTCAGTACCGATTCGCGTTTAACAGTGTTACAGTGGACCTGTCTGGCTGGAAACAATGCCACAGTTTTCAAGTGGCGTGTTCCCAAGTTGCACGCGATTTCCATGATGGGGTGCGAAGCGTGGAAAACAGGGAGGGAGGGGGAGGGGGGCGTGTCGAAGGCGCTCCGGAAAGAGACTTTCGCACTGAAATAAGAAGAACGAGGCAGACGAGTGAATGCACTGCAATGAGCAGAAAGACAGAGAGGGGAGGCAGAATCCAAACTCGCGAAAGCGAGACGGAGTTGAACCCGAGTCTGGGAGGGAAGCATCCTCCGCGCGTTTCAGAAATATAAATAAACTGGAAACAGCTTTAGAAAAAAAGGCGCTTATTTGCTATTTTTATTGTAACCCAGTACCAGCCAATCAACAGCACCTAGAGAAAGAAACGGGTCTCGGAACGAAAGGCGAGGCCGGTCCTATGAGTGAAAGGAGCTCGGAGAAAATCCCGGGGAAATGTTTCGGCGCGTGGAGGCTGTTGCACAGTGGGCCAGAAGACCGGTGGGGGCGGCCAAAACTCCAGACGCGTTTTGAGCTCCAGAGTCGCTAAACAGGACTCGAACCGAACGTGTGACCCCACCAATGGATTGCTCTCCGAACGTGGAATCCATTGGTGGGGTCACACGTTCGGTTCGAGTCCCATTTAGCGACTCTGGAGCTCAAAACGCGTCTGGGGTTTTGGCGGCCTCCGCCGGTCCTCTAGCCCACTGTGCGTTGCCTCGGGCATCGCGGGCACCAGGCGGGCACACCTCGGGCTGGAAAATCAAAGACCACTCCGGGAAATGAAAGCTCGCCTCGCAAACGCAACCAGCCACTACTCCCCCTCCGAGCTGGCATGGACCGAGCCCCCAATAAAACACCGCCGTACGTACACTGCTGATTTCCTAATGTCCCGCTTTCGCCACATGGAATTCAAATGGAAGCCGTCTGTGGACAAGTAGTTGTGGGCATCAGCACATGGAAAATTGCAGATTGCTTCAAAACAGCCAACCTTCATGATATTCATTTTCACTTTTCGACGCCTCCCGGCAATAAGGCTCTATCTTTTCCGTACGTCTCTAAAAGGCTCTATCTTTTTCGTACGTCTCTAAAAGGCTCTATCTTTTCCGCACGTCTCTAAAAGGCTCTATCTTTTTCGTACGCCTAAAAGGTTCTATCTTATTCAGGATTTGATTAGTTATTATAACTCTGTTTTGGGATATTACTACCTTTTGATGGTTGAGAGTGAAAGCACATACCGTCATGAACCGAAATAAACCATCATGTTGATAACTAATCAAATCTTTAACTCTCGATATCTCAAAAGACTGCCTGAAAAGATAGAACCTTTTGGGCGTACGAAAAAGATAGAGCCTTTTAGAGACGTGCGAAAAAGATAGAGCCTTTTAGAGACGTACGAAAAAGATAGAGCCTTTTAGAGACGTACGGAAAAGATAGAGCCTTATTGCCAGGAGGCGTCGTTTTTACCTTTGAAACTTTTATCTTGCGTTCAAAGAGTCTAACTCCTATAGTTCGGGTAGAAAAAAAAATACTCCCTCGGTATTTGAACGTCAGTCCCAGCGGGTCGCAGGCCGGTGCCTCTACGACCGCGGCTAAGGGTGCCCGCGAGCGCGCGGCTCGAATTTCAAGGTTCGTTTGCGGCCCGATGGGGCCGTGATGGCGCTTCCTGGCTTGTTGTAAAAGGTCGTGACATTCTGCCGCCTCTGTGTAACCACCAGGAATCCTGCACTGTCAGAAAATTCCGAAAAAAAATGGAAAAATCATGGAGTTTTTCCGAAACTTCTGCATGGAGCTCTCCATAAATGCAAATTCTGGGCTTTCTCCGAAAAATTTCGGAATTTTGAACAAAAATGCATGCTGCACTATCACAAAAACACGAAAAAAAGGTTTGCAACCAGTTAAAAATTGAGGGAAGGGTGAACCCCTACTTCTTGAGCTCAGTTTTCATAATATGAAGGGAAAGCTACAAGATATAAGTCAAATGAGCTCGAATGAGGTTGTCCCTTCTTTGATCATTTCAGACCAAAAAAATGCTTCAGCGAAGTCCTCTTTAATGTATCTGAGAAAAGACTTGCATTTTACCTCCTATCTGGACCCAAGGAATGCTCCGAAGAACATCTGTGTAAGCGCTGAGAAAATCTCTCCGAAAAAAAATGGAAAATGAATGGAGTCTCCATGAACGTGATTATAGGGTTTTTCTCCATAAAATTTCGGAACTAATTTCTAACAGTGTGGGGAGGGAGAGAGAGAGAGAAAGAGAGAGAGAGGGGGATGGAGGAGAGAGGAGAGAGAGAGAGAGAGAAGAGAGAGAGAAAAGAGAGATAGAGAGAGAGAAAGAGGAGAGGAGAGAGAGAGGAGAGAGAAAGAGAGAGGAAGAGAGAGAGAAAGAGAGAGAGAGAGAGAGAGAGAGAGAGAGAGAGAGAGGAGGAGAGAGAGAGAGAGAGGAGAGAGGGGGGGATGGAGGAGAGAGACAGGAGAGAGAGAGGGATGGAGGAGAGAGAGAGAGGAGGAGAGAGAGGAGAGAGAGAGAGGAGGGAGAGAGAGTGGGGAGAGAGAGAGAGAGAGAGAGAGAGAGAGAGGGCGATGAAGCGGCGTAATGGTTTCAGAGGTGATCTGTGCGATCTGCGACCCGGTGCGTCATCTGTCTCTGTCACTCCCGAGAGGGTTCCCTAGGAAGCAGGGTCGGACAGGTGTCGAGCAGGCGAAAGGCTCTTTCCGACCCCGGCCGCCGAGGTAAAGGTTCCTGCTCTTTGTACGGACGGTATGTCATGTTGTGCAATGCAAGCATGGCAGTTACCGGGCCCGAACGGCAAAGGATCATTTGTGGTCTAGCCTCTCAAGTTCAAGTTCAAGAGAGAGTAGGCCATCGGAGCGCACGCGTGCGCTGCGGTACAGCCTATCCTCGCTGTGGCAGGGGCTCCATGCTGCTGAGCCGAGTTCTCGCCATCATCCCGACGCGTGTCTGTCTGTCTGCCCGTCTGTCTGTTTGTCTGGTAGTCTGTCGTCGTCTGTCTGTCTGTCTGTCTGTCTGTCTGTCTGTCTGTCTGTCTGTCTGTCTGTCTGTCTGTCTGTCTGTCTGTCTGTCTGTCTGTCCACCCGGTCTGTCCGCCCGCTGCCGCCTGCCCGCCTTGCCTGCCGGCACAACCAACCTGCCTGTCAGAAGTTGCGTTGCCTTGTTGGCACGCTTTTCGCTTTTTCCGTGGCGGTCCACTGGAAGGTAAAGGCGGTGCCGCGTAACTTTCCCCCGCGGGGCTAATCCTCGCGCCGTGCGTGGCAGTGCGTGGCAGTGGCCCGGTCTGAGCTCTTAAGCCGCACACGCTGTAGCCGTTTTTGATGGCATAACGTGCAGCCAGCCAGCCAGCCCCACCATCGCCAATACCCATCAATTTCCACGTGGCTGTCAGCGAGCCGGCCCAGCTCCCAGCCACACTGTCGTTTAAATCGCGGTTTCGCCGATTTTGTTTTTCGTCTCGTTTATTTTTCTTTGCGAAGCCACTCACCGCTGGGGCTAATTTTCGTAATCATTTTTTAATCTCTCGGACCCATTATTCTGCCACCCTTTCTTTCGGGGCTGGATGCGACGCGACAGGACTCTCCATTGTTGTCCTTCCTTTCCGTTTTTTTTTCCTTTTTTCGTTTGCGGTGTAGCGGACAGTGGCATTGCCGGGATGACCGGTGTGATGTAACTGCCCCGACCTTGAAACAAGCTGGCAGGTCGGCAATGGACCAATGGCCAGACTCGCGGCTCAGACCATTTTCCAAACTGTCCTTCCACTGTTTCCAATTTTTCTAAACATTTATTTTTGTTTTTGTCAGTGTGTCTCCGCGCCCCTCCCGATGGCGTCCGATGGCCCTGTGTAATAAACACGACGAGGTTCGGGCGGCCTGGCCTCATCAAGAGAACCCCTTCCTAATTTTATTAACCCTCTCTCTCCCTCCCTCGCCCTTCTTGTCTCGTCACGACCACCATCTCGGACCGCTGTTGTCTCGGGCTCCAAATTTTAATTTCATCCCTCCGCGCCGCGCAGCACAAATAAGACCTCATCGAGGAGGACTAGGGTTTCCTCGTTGTTCGCGTCTTTCCGTGATTCATCGGGCTTCGTCTCGCCGCTCATTAGGGACCTTGCACATCGTGCAGCAGTCTCGCTGTCTCCCTCGCACCCATGGGGCGTGCCGTGTAGGTGCGAGAGAGACACACGGTGGGCCAGAAGACCAGTGGAGGCGGCCAAAACTCTAGACGCGTTTTGAGTCGCTAAATGGGACTCGAACCGAACGTGTGACCCCATCAATGGATTGCTCTCCGAACGAGCAATCCATTGGTGGGGTCACACGCTCGGTTCGAGTCCCATTTAGTGACTCTGTAGCTCAAAACGCGTCTAGAGTTTTGGCCGCCTCCACCGGTCTTCTGGCCCACTGTGAGACAGAGTGACTCGCAGGTGGGGCCTCCGGGCGGCGAGGGAGTATAGCAACTCATTCTGTCCTTTTTGAGGCGGGCGACGGATAGCACAGGATTCTCTTCGCGCGTCGAAAAATTTAGGCTCATTAATGAAACGGAGATTTGGAAGTGTAAACAAAAAATCAGAACTAAAAAACTCATATTTTCACGGTGAAAAGCCACAAATTGGAAATTATTTGCTTTTGTAGCGGTTTTTTTTTTTTTTTGCGGAAGCGGTGGAACACTGCAATTATTTCTCCGCGACGGCCGGTAACGGAAAATCCCGTTCAGTGTGTGACAAATGTGTGCAATCACAACACAGCGGCTGGCGCGAAATTGAAATGAGCACGCATCCAAACAATTGGTAGGCGCCGCGCGTTTGGTCCGTCCGCCCCGACTACGGCTTTGTGGAGCTCGCGAGACATCTGCGGCCACATCCCCATCCACAGTGGGCCAGAAGACCGGTGGAGGTGGCCAAAACTCTGGACGCGTTTTGAGCTCCGCAGAGTCGCTAGGACTCGAACCGAACGTGTGGCCGCACCAATGGATTGCCATCCGAACGAGGAATCCATTGGTGGGGTCACACGCTCGGTTGGGTCCCCTTTAGCGACTCTGGAGCTCAAAACGCGTCTAGAGCTTTGGCCGCCTCCACCGGTCTTCTGGCCCACTGTGCCTCCCCTTCCTCTTCAAAACACAAAGGGACTTCCTGTGGGCACAAGTTTTGTCGCAGACGTAGAATGAATGCTGTAAAGCCCCGGTGCTTTGCACTGTCGCTCTTCCTTGTCAGTCCCAGGGTCACCAGAAAAAAAAAAAAAAAAAAAAAACAAAACCTCGCTGACTTTCAACTCGGCTCACATGCCAGTCATGGCACGCCACCGCGCCCGGGGCTTTCGCGCTCAAGGTAACGCACGTCGAATGGTTTTGCAACCAGGCAGGCAGCCAGGCAGGCCCGAAGGGACTCGAAAAAGCGATCCGAACCGACGGCGAAAAGCTTCAGGGTGAGCCGCAATCCCGGAGTCTTCGAGCCGTCAGTCCCAAACAGAGCCGGCACCCTGAGAGTCGTTTTCGTCGCTCTATCTCTCTCGCTCCTACGCGGGATGCTCCATGAGTGCAAGAGAGAGAGAGAGAGAGAGAGAGAGAGAGAGAGAGAGAGAGAGAGAGAGAGAGAGAGAGAGAGAGAGAGAGAGAGAGAGAGAGAGAGAGAGAGAAGAAAACGACTCTCGGAATCAGTGTACAGGCCGGCCCGATGTTCTTGCGCGCCTAATTTAGATTTATGATAGAGGCTCGCCACTTCGTCCTTCGTCGCCGGGCCGGGCGGGGCAGGGCCGCCTGTCCGAGAACTTTGGCGGCGCAGGCGCACCAACCGACTCTGTAGTGTACCGCGCATCTGTTGCTGTCGTCTTGAATAACTTTGTTGCCAACTTTCCGGCATAAAAAGCCGAGGCGGTTGGCGGCCCTGCGAGGGCCCTGTGAGGTGGACGGGAAGCCGGATGCGGATGCGACTCGGGACGACTCGGGACGAGCAGGTGGGAAAAACGGCGGGGAGTTTGGAGCCGAGCCGAGCGGAGCCGAGCCGCGGTCTCGCGAGTACAAAGAAGATCCTAGGCGTGGAGTTTGTGGCGGAAATTGGCAGGGAGGCTTTCGCGGGCCTCGGCCTAGATTCGCACCTCGCCGTCGACGTCCTCGCACAGTGGGTCAGAGGAACGATGGAGGCGCGGTCAAAGTCCAGAACGCGTTTTGAGCTCCAGACTCGAACCGAACGTGTGACCCCACCAATGGATTCCTCGTCCGGAGAGCAATCCATTGGTGGGGTCACACGTTCGGTTCGAGTCCTGTTTAGCGACTCTGGAGCTCAAAACGCGTCAAGAGTTTCGGCCGCCTCCACCGGTCTTCTGGCCCACTGTGTCACGCCGCTGTTTGTTGCAGACTGGGACTGGTCGCTGGTGCTGGTGGGGGCCGGCATGGCCCTGGTTCTCCTGGCCGCAGTGAGCTACCAGTGCGCCGCCACGTGGCGCTGGCTCAAGCAGGGGGCCCTCCGGGGCTGGGAGGAGGGCCTGGCCGGAGACCTGCAGGCCGCCGTCCGCATCTCGCACTCGCTGCCTGACCTCAAGCGGCCCACGCGCCAGGAGTATGTCCAGGAGAACAAGACCGAGAAGAAGGTAAGCCAGCCACCACAAACAAATTTTTAAAGAAAAATTATCAATAAAACCACCGGTGTAAAATTCATCAGAATTTCAATCAGGAAATTCCTGATTGGTCAATCAGGATATTTTCTGATTGGAAAATCCTGATGTTTTTTCGCGCACCTCTGATTGATGATTTCTGATTGGTACCAGTTCTGATTGTCCATTTCTGATTGTGTTTTCTGAGTGGACAGTTCTGATTGGTAAGACAACTTCAAACATCGGTAATATGACCATGCCGAGGCACATTCAAAATTGAGGATAACTTCTCTGGGGGGTCAAAACTGAGTCCGATCCAAATCTGAAGTCCGATTTTCGATAGCTCGTGATCAGGCCTCGACATGCTACTAAAGAGGATCCGATGTGCATAAGATTAAAATGGCCCTAGTCAAATCGGCTGAACATGTCACATACCAAATTTGAAACCGATATCGCAAATACTTTCCATTTTATAGGCATCTGTACTTTGACACCATCAAAATTTCCTGATGTTCTTTTCTGATTTTTGAGCGGCAATCAGCAATCAGAAAAGCAGTCAGAAATTTTCTGATTGCCAATCAGAAATCAAATATCAGGAAATTTCTGATTGGCACTCAGACATCAGAAATCAGGAATTTTCTGATGTCGGTACTCAATCAGGATTTTTTCTGATTGACAATCAGAAATCAGAAAGAATTCCTGATTGACAATGATTGGAAATCAGAAATTCAATCAGAAAATCCTGATGGCATTTACACCGGTGACAACAAAGAAAAAAATTGTCAGCCGGGTATTGAACCCTTGCTTTCAACTTACCGGTTAGCTCACTAATCCACGTGGCCACGGCGCTCGCTCTGTCCAGGTGCTGCGGCAGACCACGCTGCCGGCCGTCACCTCGGAGCAGCAGAAGTTCCAGCGGCAGCTGTCCTACCGCATCGACCCGGTGCCGCTGGGGCAGATCCAGTTCTCCGTGTGCAGCCTGGACCGCTCCAACGACACCATGGGCAACATCAAGGTGAGTACCACCACACTGCAGGCAGACAGCTAGCAGGTAGGCAATTCGAAGGGACCGCTGCACAGTGGGCCAGAAGACCGGTGGAGGCGGCCAAAACTCCAGACGCCTTTTGAGCTCCAGAGTCACTAAATGGGTCTCAAACCGAACGACCCCACCAACATCGAGGGGGTAACCACTCGCGTAATACCCTGTACACAAAAACCGTGTATTACGCGTAATACACGTGGTCGTAATACCATTTCTGGGTCAAATGTGCCAAATTTTTGCATTTTAAGGACGTAATACACGTGTAATGCCCCCGTAATACAGCGTAATACCGAGTAGTCTGTACACGATTTCTTGAAGTGTTTACCCCCTCGACCAACATGGATTCCTCGTTCGGAGAGCAATACATTGGTGGGGTCACACGTTCGGTTCGAGTGCCATTTAGCGACTCCGGAGCTCAAAACGCGTCTAGGGTTGTGGCCGCCTCCACCGGTCTTCTGGCCCACTGTGCGCTGGGCGGGCAGGTGAGCGATGACTCAGAGAGGGTGGGCGGGTAATCCGAATGCACGGCGCCCCGCGGGCTGGGACAAGGACCACGCAACCCCAGTTGACGTAGGCGGGGGTCGAACCCCGGCCCGACCGGATGCCGAGCCTGTAACCCGACGACGCGATGCGACTGCCTGCTGACATTTGTCAGTCCTGGAGGCCCTGGAGAAGGCCCTGAAGAAGGCCCTGGGGGCCACGGGGGCGTTTGCTTGCTCCCACGCCGACACTGAGCCCATTAGAGGCCGCGGGGGTCTCTCGCCTTGACGCCCCAGGGCACCGCGCCCCGCCCCGCCCCGCCCCGCCCCGCCCCACCCCGCCCCGCCCCCGCGTGGAACGCCATGTGGCCACCCACCCACTCGCCTTTGATTCGAGGCACGCCGATGACGTCCGCTCTGTGTTGTGCTCCTCGTCCCCCATTGACGCATCGCTGCTCCGCTTGTAAGATTTCCAACAAAAACTTCGAACCACACTTTCGTTTTGTTTTTGTTTGCTGTTCGCTGCGCGGGGAAACAGCCAACAAAAAGAAATCATCGAATGTCCCTTTGTTCTTCCTCTCTTTTCTGTTTTTTCGGAGGGGAACAATCAGGGGCGAGAAAGTTGTCCGTGACCACGTGACGGCGCGTGACGTTCTGTGACGTTCTGTGACGCACGCGTCACACACGCGCGTGGCCGTGGGGCGCGGAGGGTGGCCTCGTTATTCTCGGAGTGATGTGTCAGTCAAAAACAACAACGAGAAAGCGAGACGAGCGGTACCGCGTCGCGTTTCGGAGTTCCACCTGCAGAGTCGTTTTCGTCGCTGTCTCGCTCGCACCAATGTACAGCACGCCCCATGAGTGCGTGAGAGACAGAGCGACGAAAACGACTCTCGGAATCAGTCTGCCGGCCCCGCCACGCCCCGCCCGCGGGCCTCGGCCCACACTGCGGACGGATCCGGTGTCCCGACCGGTGGGCGGCCCGCGATTGGAGCACGCTGTGTGGGCCGCGGCGTGGCGTGGCGTGGCGTGGCGTGGCGTGGCGTGGCGTGGCATGGCGCGCGCGCGCGTGAGGGACGCGCATTTTTGCCACAATACGTCCCACATGCACCAGTGTCGAAAGGGATGCCAACCTCTCGCAACCTCAGCATGCCTTCAGGGTCTTCACTGGAAGTGGGACAGAAAACTAGAAGCCCACTTATAGTGCGCCAGAATGCGATACCTCCTAGCAACAGACACGTACTTCGGGCACACTAGGGTAAATCCACTCTGAAATTTTCAGAGTTTCTGAGACTCTGACTTATTCCAGAGTTACAAGAGACTCTGAACCAGAGACTCACGAAATTCGCGCACCCCAGAGTTAAAAGGCCAGAGTGTAATCTAGAGTTCAGTGTCAGAGTGTTATCCAGAGTTTCTGATGTCAGAGTGTTATCCAGAGTCTGTTGTCAGGGTGCCAGCATTAAGTTTCAGAGTCTTAATAATGATAGAATATCTTGAACAGTGCTTGGTCTAGAACTGCCTTGGAAGTGTCCCTAGGGGCTAAAAATCGAGTCCGAGCCGAATCTGCAATCCATTTTTCGCTACCATCAAATGTACCTCAGCATACCGGGCCAATACTATCCGATCAGATTGAAATTAAAACTGTCCTAGTAAAATAGTCCATAGATGACACCTACCAATTTTCAATCAAAAATAACAAAAACTTCCCGAGTTATGGCTTCGTCAATTTGGAAATATCTAACTCTGAAACTCAGACGATGGCTCAAACTCTGAAACTGTGAACCGGACTCTGGAACTCTGGATTGAACACTTAACTCTAAAATCAAGGACTCCAAAACTCTGCAACTCTGACGCTGAACTCTAAAACTCTGAGCGTAACTCTGCAACTCTGACGCTGAACTCTGAAACTCTGAGCGTAACTCTGCAACTCTGACTTGAACTCTGAAACTCTGACCTGAACTCTGAAAGTCTGAGCAAAACTCTGCAACTCTGACAAAACTCTAAAAATCCAGAGTGGATTTACCCTAGTGACGCTTCTCAAAACTCACGTACTTTAGGCAGCCTGTGCAACAAACACGCAGTTTCGCCATTTCTAGTCAAAAAGCACGCAGTTTCCGCATTTTCGTCCTGGCGGGCACGGAAATGCATTTTTGGTATTTTTCATGGTTGGGCTAGTGAGGTACAGTCACTAAGTCACCATTAATAACCTCAAAACGGTTTCAGGAGTGATCTGCATTGAAATATTACAGGAAGTTTGGAGGTTAAAGGTGGGCCTATATTTAACGACAGATCGTTCCTGAAACCGTTTCCAGGTTATCAATGGTGACTTAGTGACTGCACCTCACTAGCACAACCATGAAAGTTACCCAAAATGTATTTCCGTGCCCGCGAGGACGAAAATGCGCAAACTGCGTGCTTTTTGACTAGAAATGGCGAAACTGCGTGTTTGTTGCACAAGCGGCTGAAAGTACGTGAGTTTTGAGAAGCGTCTCCGAAGTACGTGTCTGTTGCTAGGAGGTATCATGGAAGCATTTCTAGTTCGTGTCGGCCTGGGGCGCCCACCGCACTGTACGGGGAGTGCTCACAGTGTTTAATTTCAATCCGGGGACCCGAAGGCCCCGACCCGACCCGACCTCGCGGCCGGCACCGTCGCTGCCACGTTCCGAGCCCCGATTTCCTGTTCCCTGGTCCGCGCTGGGGCCGCGCCGCTCGGGTCCTCGCTGTCCGTCTGGCTGGAGCTAAACTTTAAATTGCGCCAGCAGGTCGCCACTAGCGGCCGCGGCTGCAGACTGATTCCGAGAGTCGTTCTCTCTGTCTCTCTCGCACTCACGGGGCGCCCCGTGCAGGTGCGAGAGAGACAGAGCGACGAAAACGACTCTGGGAATCAGTCTGCCGTGTGCTGGGGTGTCCACTGTTTCGGGCGGCACTGGCAGGGCGGCTGGCTGGCCTTGGGCACGCCTTCGCGGGGCTGAAAGAGGATCAAAGGACGACGCGAAGGCAAGCGAAAGCGAGGAAGGGACAGAGACAGACGAAGACAAAGGTGGCGCCTTATTTATACCGTGGAGTGTAAAGGCGTGTCGGTCTCTGATTCCCCGCCCCGCGTCTCTGGCGCGCTGCAGCCGGACAGCGTCTGTCTCTGTCGCACTCGCGGGGCGGTCCGCAGGGTGGGAGAGAGACAGAGCGACGGGCTGCTCTGAGCCAACCCTACCGGCCCACAGTGGGCCAGAAGACCGGTGGTGGCGGCAAAAACTCCAGACGCGTTTTGAGCTCCAGAGTCGCTGAAAAGGACTCGAACCGAGCGTGTGACCCCACCAATGGATTGCTCTCCGAACGAGGAGTCCATTGGTGGGGTCACACGCTCAGTTCGAGTCCCACTTATAGCGACTCTGGAGCTCAAAACGCGTCTAGAGTTTTGGGCGCCTCCACCGGTCTTCTGGCCCACTGTGGGTGCTGCCGCGCGACAGACCGACACCAGAACTACCGCCTCCCTTCCCGTCCCTTCCCCTCCCCTCCCCTCCCTTCCCCTCCGCTCCCTTCCCCTCCCCTCCCTTCCCCTCCCCTCCCCTCCCCTTCCCCCTCCCCTCCCCTGCCCCGGACCGCCGTCTGCTTGTCTCTGGGGTCGGGAGAGCCGGGAGGTGCCGCGCCACGCCGCCACACTGCCACACCCTATCCATACCAATCCTAGCCCTAACCGCAACGCAGTGAGCCCCGTTACCCCCGTTACGGCCTGCACCCCTCCCCCTCATGTGTGCCCTTCGCGCGCTTGGTACACTGGGCGGCCGGGGCTGCCGGCCCCTCAGGCGAACTAACTGGAGCAGACCGCCGCGCCCTCCTCTCCGCCATCAAGCTCTGTTTATTAATCCGTTTGGCGCGTGCGCATTTGGTGGGGCCAAATTGGCGCCCCGCCCCGCCCCGCCCCGCCCCTCGGGGCTTTCGCTTCGCTTGTGTCGATACATACGTTTCCGCCAGATCAAATTCGCCCGGCGCGTGTTGGGCTCTGCATTCTGATCGTCTCCCTGTCTGTCTGTCTGTCTGTCTGTCTGTCTGTCTGTCCATCTGGCTGCCTGTCCGCTCGGCGCAATATGAATGCCGCGAAGCAACGCGAACGCCAATAACGCAGAAGACGCGTCGGACAAAGGAAAGGCGGCGCGACGCTCCACAGTGGGCCGGAAGACCGGCGGAGCGGCCAAAATTCAAAACGCGTTTCGAGCTCCAGAGTTGCTAAGCAGGTCTCAAACCGAACGTGTGACCCCACCAACATGGATTCCTCGTTCGGAGAGCAATCCATTGGTGGGGTCACAAGCTCGGTTCGAGTTCCATTTAGCGACTCTGGAGCTCAAAACGCGTCTGGAGTTTTGGCCGCTCCACCGGTCTTCCGGCCCACTGTGCGCTCCGCCCCCCGGGATCGAGAGAGACAGCGACACGCTCAGGCAGCCGTCGCGCGACGCGGGTTCCGCCGGGTTTTCCGGAAGCGCGCTGATCTCGGCGCTGATCGAC